GGACTGAGAATGTATCCATTAACACATGTTTGGAAGGCCTGACCTGTCCATCCCCACCTTTCTGTGCCGCAGAACCACAGTGACAGCCACATGACACTGTTTGAAGGGGACAACTTCCAGGGCTGCAAGTTTGAACTCAGTGATGACTATCCATCCTTGCCCTCTATGGGCTGGGCCAGCAAGAATGTGGGTTCCCTCAAAGTCAGCTCTGGAGCGTGAGTCCTGGAACTGGAACAAGGGAGATGAGAAGAGCAGGGAGGCAATAGGACCAGGGGGAGGGTGAGAAGAGGTGATGGGCATGCTAAGGCACATGGTAAAGAGAGATCTTGGGACTGGGGGACAGGGAGAAGGGGAGAGATGTTGGGACTGGGGGACAGGGAGAAGGGATGTGACAGGAGACTTGGAGGCAAGGGGAAGTGAGGTGATGGAGACAGACTGGGAGGGGTGGGGGTCAAGTAACAGGATAACAGGAGTTAGTGGGACAATGTTGGGCTAGAAGAAGGGATTGAAAACATGAAGAGGCAATGGGTGGGAATAAGAGACAAGGTGAGGAAGATGATAGGAAGACAGGGAAGTGGGCAGGGCAGGGAGACATCTATGTAGGGAAAACAGAAAAAATGAATTTGGAAGTGGGGGGTTAGAAGCTGAGAAAAGAAGCTGAGAAAATGGAGGGCATCAGTGGGGCTGGGGACAGAGTCTACTGACCACCCCTGTGCCCTCACTGGCCTAGGTGGGTGGCCTACCAGTACCCAGGCTACCGAGGCTACCAGTATGTATTGGAGCAGGACCGGCACAGTGGGGAGTTCCGTACCTACAGCGAATTTGGCACACAGGCCCACACTGGGCTGCTACAGTCCATTCGGAGAGTCCAGCAGTAAAGGCTCCCCAACCCTGGTACTTCCTTCTGAGGAGCCTCAATAAAGCTTTCTGAACCTGCCTGCCCCTCTTGCCTCCTTTTTGGTGTCTTTGTGATCTCCATCCTCATCGTTCTGAGGGGGCTTCCCTGGCAACCTGACCCTCCCCTCAAGCTCCAGGACTCTTGACTGTGGAGCATAAACTGGTTTAAGATATGTGTGGCTAGATTCTGATGGGGGTGAGAGGAAACTGCTAGTAAGAATTTTGGGGATTCTGTTCAATACAACCAGTCCCATGCCTCTCCTTGGTAAAGGCCCATCAGCCTGAGCCAGGGGTACTGCTAGCCCAGATGGTGCCTTTCTGGTCCTCTGGTGTGGGTGCACACAGCCCCGCGGCAGGGCTCCTTGCTCATTGCTGAATTTCAACCTCTCCCACCTCTGCCCTGGGCCAGGCAAGGTCATGCAAAACCTCCTTAACTCTTTGCACAAGTTCTGTTGGGTTCCTCTCTAAGCCACTAGGCGTTTCCAGGCTTTATCTTCACCCTGGCTCCCCATGCAGCCAAGAGAAGCCTGCACCCACTTCCCAGCTTTATAATCACTGTCTTGTTAGAGGAGCAAGGGTATGAGAGGGGCATTAGTGCCTAGTGCCTCCCAAGGCTTTATAAGGGGGAGACTTCCTCTCTCTGAGCTGAGCCCCCAGACCATTTGTCTGAATGAGAACAATTCATTACATTGCATTGAGCTCCAGAATTTACAATGCATTTTCATAGTCCTCCTCTTAGCTGTTTCAAACAATCCCCTCTTCATTCCTCCTCTCCCTCCCTGCTCTTTAGAGGACTGGTGAGTAAAAGAGACCACCCTTAGCTACTGACCACAGCAAGCCTGGGTTCTGAGGCAGGTGGCAGAAGCCCACAGCCATGGTGGGGCTGAGTGGGTAGCAGCTGTATCAGGGCCCCTGGCTCTGATATACTTTCTTCCCAGTTAATGATAGCCTCAGTCCTACATAGGCAGGGCCTCCATGGCCCTTGGGACCCTCTCATCCTGTCCCTCAGGGATGCTTGTGTTTTCAAGCCCTTAGCGGACCTATCGATGGACAGAGTGGCCCAGATCATCTCAGCCCCAGGGAAGGCAGGGCAAGTTGGAGAACAGTCAGGCCTGGACCTGGGCAGTCCCCAGGGACCTGGCTAGGCAAATTCAGGCATCTGCTTCCTTGGGAAGAGCCCAGGGCCAGAAGTCAGAACACCTGGAACCAAATCACACAGCATTCTGAGCCTCAATTCCCTCATTGATAAACTGGGGTTGCTGATCCTTGTCTCACAGGGATATTGTGAGGATTCAAGGAGATACCCCTGAAGATGCTTGTGGTGTTATGGAAAAGCACTGGGGCAGTCAACCTAGGGCCCTCCTTCTCTTGCCTCCCCAGTGGATACCAAGATAGGGCCAGGGGGCTAAAGGACAGAGCCATAGGTGGAGTATGAATTCTGCTTTATACCTGGATGGGTGATAGTCCATAGCCTCTGTTGCCTTTGATCCTTGCAACATCTTCCATACCTCATCCACTTCACCAGTGAAGAAGCTGTGCCCCTGCTGATGAGGGATGTCTTGATGAGGCCATCTACCTAACTGCTGTCAAAGCCAGGACTTGAACACAAAGCTCCTGAACCCAAATCCAGGCTGTTAAGTGGAGGCTGACTTGAGCTGTGGCTAAAGGCAGAGCCCCAAACCTCTGTGGGCCCCAGAGGAACCTGGAGTTCCTGCCTGGTCACAGGCCTAACTGTCCCTTTGGGGGGTGGTAATAATAACAATAGTTAAAGTCTAGAGCCATGTCTGAGCACTCAGCATGAGTTATATAACTCAAAACTGGGTATGGTAGGTACTGTAATCCCCATTTTATAAATGAAGAGATTAAGGTACAGAGGTTACATAACTTCCCCCAACCAGGGGAAAGTCACACAACTAGGCAATGAGGGAGCTACATTTGAACCCAGAACCCAGCTAAGCTTGCCAGAGCCCTGCAGCCCATCTCTCTACTGCCTGCTTTTGGGGGGCAGGCAGTGGGCAAAGGGAGATCTGGTATCCAACATCAGCTGAGCTGCCCTCTCTCCAGAAAGGTTTGTGGCTGCTGGGAAGTGTCAGCAAGGTGGCTTCAGGGCCTGGCAGTGTGAACTGCACAGGCACTCCCTGTCTCTAGGTCTCAGTGTCCCCACCGCTACAAGGAGGGAGTTGGGGGGACTAATATTTGCTGCAGCCTCTTCTAGCACAGGCCTTGGTTTTTCTGGACCAAGAGATCCAACTTGCTCCTCATACTGGTGATTAAGGAGCAGGGCCGTGGGTACAGAGACCAGGGTGGGCCTGGGTGCTTCATCTCCCCTTCTTCTCAGCATCCCTGAGCCTTGCTCCTCCCATTCCAGGCAGGCCAGTGATCTGCAGAACACTGCAGGACCCACGCTCAGACAGGTAGGAGATGATGGAGGAGAAGTTGCCTAGGCTTGCCTATCAGCCAAAGGCCAGAGTGGGTGGAGGAGGTCATCTCCTTTCTTGGAGCAGCCAAGACCCAGGAGGGGAGGGGGGAATACCACTTATCCCCTCACAAACTCTTCCCAGAACCCACACACCTTCCACACCTGAGTTCTCAGTGAGGTGGGCACACCTGAGTTGTCAATCCTTCTACAGTTCAGAGCTTCGATGTCTGTAAAGACCCCCGCCCCCGACTCTGAGTGCCTCTCCCTTCTGCCTCAGCCTTCAACTGAGAGCCTTAGGTGGGTAAACCTCACTGCCTCCCCCTTCTCGCAGCTCTGACCTCCTGCTCCTCGTTTTCTATCTGGGGAGTATAAGAAGTCATTAAAGAGAGGGACTGGGGCCTTTACCCTGCCCCCAAGGACCTCCTCTCCATTGAAACGCTGAGTTTGGTCCCCAGGGAGCATCCCATCTTTCTCCACTGGATTCCACGTCCACATCCTGAAGCCTCATCCCTGTGTCTTTAGGACCGCCTGGAGTTCTGGAATCCCCCATTTCCCAGTAAACTCTGCCTGCCACACTGCTCTTTGGCTCCTGACTTTTGCACACCCTCCCAGCAAGGACAAACAGGCCAGTAGTCACAGCAAGTGAGGAATGGGGCCCTGCGGGACCCTAAGTAGGACCTTCCAGCCATCCTCAGTCAGGCACCTCAGGACCAGGGATCCTACAGGAAACCTGCCCACTCCAATCCATGTGCCCTGGAATCCCAGGCCTCTTCACCTCGTGGGCTCAAGCTGTGGGAGAGAAAGGCCTTGAAGTGACCATTCTGATGGGAGCCATTGGGTGCTGTGTGCTGTGGGTGAGCTCCTGGCTCAGAGCCTCATCGTTAGCTAGCATCCCTACTTAGCTGGCCTCTCCAGAGCCAGGAAGCCCCACTAGTACCCAGAGACTCCAGGCCACCTGGGAACCACATAATTTCTGCCAATAGACTTTCCATTTCTTGGAGTAGATGTCAGCTTTTACTGCCCCTGGGTCTGGCGCCTTATACAGTACACAGCCCTGTTTTAACTTCTCTGTTCCGGTGAAAGCAGGGTGTCAACTGCAGCGTGCTTTGGGAATAACCAGGATGGGAGTAGCTGTGAGAGTAGACAGTAGGCTGGGATGACAGGGGAGGGGTAACAATGCAAGAACAACAGTTGTGGGGGGATGTGGAAGAGGATCATGAGCCTACCATGTGCCACAAATTAGTAGGGAACAAATGGATGAGAAAAGCAGGAAAAGGAGAGAGCTAAGATGGAGAGAAAGAGGAGACAGGAGGAGAGATGGGAGATGGAGAGACTAGAGGGAAGGGGAAACCTGGAAAGGATGGGGAAAGGCAACCCACTCCAGTTGTGGGGGAGATGACACAGTGCTGGCTCAGAGGCCCGAGAGCCCCGGAAAGGCAGGAAATAGGCAAATAAGAGGGAGACCGGGAAGCAGATCGGGTCTCCAGGGATGAGCAGAAAGTGGGAGAGGAGGAGGAGGGAGAACGGGTGGAGGGATGGGCGGAGATAAAGGGAGCAACGTCTGCAGGGCCGGGAGCTCAGCGACAGGCGAGAGGGAGGGAAGCGGAAATTTAAAAGTGAAGATGCAGATAACGCAGCCTGGAGACGGGAACCCGGGTGGGGGTGGGAGGAGAGTGGTGCGGTGATGGGGGTGGGAATGGGCGGGCAGAAAGGGGGGCGGGTGCTGTGGCCCCCGGGATCCGAGGTGAGGCTGGGTACCCCGCCCCATCTCTGTTTGCTGAGAGTCAGGGAGGCGGAAAAGAATTGCGCTCCTGACCCCTTTCAGAGCGTGAGGCCCAGGCCCATCCCCCTCGCGTCTCCCGGGTTGTGGGGCGCGGGGGGCTGCCGGGTGCGCTTGGCTGCGGCGCCGCGCGTTGGAGACTTTATTGCGATGGGGCGATAAGAGGGGCGGGGGCGGGGTCCCGGGGGCTGAAGCTGCAGCGCTTTAATTAAAACGGAAATTGCGGCCCCTGCCCGTACGGGGGGCCGGAGGGTTCCAGGCAGCCTGGTAACTGGGAGAATCGCTCCAGGACCCCCTCCGTCTCCGCCACACCCGGTCAGCCCCCTCCTGCCAGGCCCAGCCAGACCCCGCGCCGTCTTCTCCCTGTCACCCACGGTCGCCTCGGGCGGGGATCGGTGCCCCGGAGCGCAAAGCCTGACGCGTCCCCCCTCTCTCACTGCCCCCCCGCCCCCCACCGCCCAGTCCCTGGCGGCGATGAGACAGAGCGGCGCCTCCCAGCCCCTGCTGATCAACATGTACCTGCCAGGTACCAGGGACCGGCCCGGGGCTGAAGGCACCAGGACCCGGGGCCGGAAGTCTGGGCTAGGACGTGGGAAGGGGATGCTGTGGTCCAAGGGAAGGGGGAGCGGTCCAAAGACTAGGATTGCTGAAAAGACTTAACTATGAAGGGCGCTGGGGGACCTTAAAGGCAGATAGAGAGCCTTGGGGTTTTAGTGTGAGGTCAGGAAGATTCGAAGTGAACAGACTGGGAACCTGGGAGGCCGAGAGCACTAGTTCAGGTGTTGAAAGAGCCTGGTGGAGGGAGCGCGGGCCTTCGGTGTGGCGGGGGCCTCAGTGCGCGCGCGGTGCTCAGAGGCTGTGGTTTGCCGCCCTCGTGGCTTCTCACCTTAGTGCTTCGAGCGTTCCCACCGTCCCAGTCTCCCTTCCTCTCCGATGGGCTCCGGGAGCTCCGGCTCGGCTGGCGCCGTCCCCGCTCAGCTTTATAAGGCTCCCGCCGGCCCGTTCCGAAAGCGGATTTCCTTTTTCCTGGACGCGTTTCCTGACTTGGGCATTATGGAGGGGCTCCGCGCGGCGCGCGTTCCGGCAAGGCTCCGGGAGGAGGAGCTGGGTGGCTGGGCTCCCAACCTCGCGCCAGGGAACCAAAGCACCCTCCTGGAGCCTTAGCCCTTTCGGTCAAGCTCTTGTCTGCCTGTTTTCTCCTGCTGCCACAGATCCCGTCGGAGACGGTCTCTTCAAGGAAGGAAAGAGCCCGGGATGGGGGCCGCTGAGCCCCGCGGTACAGAAAGGTGAGCTGGCCAGCGGACTTGGTGGTTGTTGGGGGAGGGGCGCAAGGACAATGATAGGGGTCGGCACACTCCCCAGAAGGAGGGGCAACACTACCACCCGAACAGGAGTGGAATTGATGTGCAATGCCCTGCTCTGGGAAACCGAGGGTCCTGGAACGATTGTGGGGAGGTTCAGGAGCAATATTCACTTGGCCATTGACTCCTGCATCTTTCCAGTGCCAGGGCTGGACTTGCAGGTCAGACCAGATGGAAAGGATACTGATCCCTGGCCTCTTTCCTCTCCGAATGGTTTTCCTGCTGTGGGTCCGGGGCTGAGGGGTTTAGCCTCCTTTCCTTGCTGGGAGCAGGAGCGCCAGGCCATGGCACTGCCGGCATGGAGACTCAGATAATTACTCCTTGACCACTCCAGGCTGCGTCACTACTAGCACCGAGGCCAGCGCCTGCCTGCCTCACTAGCCCGTGCCTATTTGGTTCTGCAGGCCAAGTCCCCTAGGCCAGTTCAGTTGATTCCCAGATTCACCACTGCCGCTGGTGAAGTCGCTAAATCCCCTTTGGCTTTGCTTTGTAGATCACTCAGCCTGGCTGGCCCTCCAGGCAAAGCCTCCCATAGATCTCTTTAAGTTACAGTTACCACAAAACATGATTGGCAGTGGCTTTATCCAAAATGGAACACAACTCCCAACAGGAATGGGGTTCCAAGCTTCCAATGTAGCTCTGCCTAGGTGCTAGCTACACACTTTGACCCAAACCTTCCCTTGCTTCTGACCCTAAAGCTTTTGACCCGGAGTCAGGCAGGTACTTGCTGGGCTGGTGTGGAGAGATTGGGGTTGAAATTACGGTGGAGGGCAGCTTCTGGGTTCTAAGCAGATCATTAATAAAGGAAGAGAGGTTCACCAGGCTCAATTTGGAGAAATAATCAACTTAAAGGAAACCCATTTTATTCTAAAAGAGAGTGGAGGAGCTAATTGTATCAAGATTTTTCTCTGAATTGTCGAAGGCTCCAAAACGGGGGAACGGGAATTTTGGGGGCGGCTCGTTCTCTCCTCCTTCTCATCTCCCGGAAAAACTTCCTTGCTGCTCCCAGCAACCCCGAAATCAGGACGGGGCCGAAGAGCCTGGAGATGGGCCAAACGAGGAGGCAGGGAGCCAAGCAGAGAGGCTTCCCGGTCTCAGCCCTCAGAGCTCAGCGTCAGGGCCCCAAGGCAGTATGACACCCTCAAACGCCCGGAATCCCGCCTGTTCCGAACGAAGAGGCGGAACCCGCCGCGCTCTGCGCACCCGACCGTGGTGGAGGTGGGGAGCCTGCAGAGTCTGTCCCCCTCTCACACATAGCTGGGGGGTGTGTGTCACTGCCCCCATTCCTGTCTGACATGGCACCACAAGGAAGCCAGCCACCACCTCTTCTCCGCCTCAGGGGGGAGGTCCAAATGTATACCTTTCAGGGCTGGGCCTTGTGCAGTGGTTGGAGTGGTCCTGATCCATGCCTGCCTCTTCCCTCTGGATCTCTGGGCATGTTCCGGCTGGAATGTGGCAGTCCAACACATGTGCAGGCTCCTCTTTGCGATTGTGCAGGCTCTGCCCTGAATAAGGACGTCCCGCATCAGGGGCTGATATCCCACCCTCGCTCACCTCAGAGAGCCGTGTGCCTTGGTGGGCCTGCTTCCACACGAGGCGATGTAATTCTCACAAAGCCAGGCGCCCACGGGGCTGCGTCCTAAGGCGGATCCATGTTTTCATTGTGCAAAAGGGCAGTAAAGGCTAAAAACTGCTCTGCTCGGCCCCTCCCTGGCCAGCCTCTCCACCTGCTCCCAGCTACCCTGCTGGAGTGTCCTTTCCCTTCCCGACACCCGTTCCCGCCAGGCTGAGTGGGTCTCCCGCCTAGCCTCTTCCTGCACGTCCAGCCTCCCCCATCCCAGGAGCCTGTCTGACTACGCCCCTCCCTACAGGCAGCGGGCAGATCCAGCTGTGGCAGTTTCTGCTGGAACTGCTCGCTGACCGCGCGAACGCCGGCTGCATCGCGTGGGAGGGTGGCCACGGCGAGTTCAAGCTCACCGATCCAGACGAGGTGGCGCGGCGCTGGGGCGAGCGCAAGAGCAAGCCCAACATGAACTATGACAAGCTGAGCCGCGCGCTGCGCTACTACTACGACAAGAACATCATGAGCAAGGTGCACGGCAAACGGTACGCTTACCGCTTCGACTTCCAGGGCCTGGCCCAGGCCTGCCAGCCGCCGCCCGCGCACGCCCACGCCGCCGCCGCCGCTGCAGCCGCAGCAGCTGCCGCCCAAGACGGTGCGCTCTACAAGCTGCCGGCCGGCCTCGCCCCGCTGCCCTTCCCCGGCCTCTCCAAACTCAACCTCATGGCCGCCTCGGCCGGCGTCGCGCCAGCCGGCTTCTCCTACTGGCCGGGTCCGGGCCCCGCCGCCACCGCCGCCGCCACCGCTGCGCTCTATCCCAGCCCCGGCTTGCAGCCCCCGCCCGGGCCGTTCGGCACCGTAGCCGCCGCCTCGCACTTGGGGAGCCATTATCACTAGACGGGGCGGCCGGGTGCTGTGTGGCCTCTCCCGACACCCAGAGCCTCGCTCAGAACCATCCACGTCCCTGGGAAGGGGCGTGGAGCCTCTCCCACCTTCCCTTCAACTTCAGATTTTACTCTACTGCCGCACCCAGCCTCTTGGGAAGGGACCTGAAGCCTCCTCTTCTAACACTGCGTTTGCCCCCACTCCCGCTTTATCCCCCAACCCCCTGGGGAGGGTGACTGGCGCCTCCCCTTTTCTTCTAAGTTCCGCCTTCCTCCAGGCCGGAGATCCCTGAAGGGAGCTCCCGGACTTCCCCTGGCTTTGCCTCCTCTCCACTGGGACTCTGCCCTGGCTCCTTGAAGTCCCCTCCATCATGACCCCTGCCTTTCTAATTCCAAATCTTTCCTCATTTTTTCTCCTCTTCACCGAGCTGCCCATCCCAGTACGGCGGAGGGCTGCACCCACCATCTGCTCTCCAGCTCCCCCTCACTCCCTCACCTCAGCGGGCTTGGTGAGGGTCACTGTCTCCCTAGGACGCACCGAGGTAGCTTCTGGCCCGCTTGCTCCAGCCCCCACCGCCCCACAGGACAGCCCAGTGTGTTTCTATTCCCTTCCAGACCCATTAAAGCTCCCAAGTTCCCCAATGCCTCTCTCTCTGTTCTTTGCTGCACCAGAACCTTTTCTCAAGTGGGAAAGGAGATGCCCAGCTCAGGCCTGAGCAGAAAGGCCTACCAAGGGAGTTCGAGAGAATGATGGCAAAGCAGGCTTGGGTGCTACTGGAAGGGAGCAAGGAGCCCCTGGTAGGTGGGATCAGCCTAAGACAGGAACCCTCCTTCCACCTGGCCCCCTCGTCCCCGCCCCAGCCTGCCTCACCCTGTCTTGCACCTGCCCCGTCACCCCACCCCACCCCAACTTCCATATCCACACACACTCCGGCATCTCACCTTCCCCATCTCACCCATCCTTCCACCTGCCCCCCATCTCATCACTACCTCCATCCCACCTATCCCATCTTCACACTATCTCAACCTTTCCTCGGTCACTCCATTTCATCCCTTCCTCCACCTCCGCTCCGCTTCCATTCCCACGTCAACTTTCTCTCTCACCCTCACTCACAAACGGCCCCTTGCCCCAGCATCGCCAACGCTATCTTTTCTCTGCATCATTTTCAGTAGGGAACACTCAGGTCTTTCGCGCTGGCCGGTGCCAACAGTGGTTAGCTGCGACACCCTCCTTCTCGCGGGCGGCGCGCGCCCTCTGCTGGCCGAAGGAGGGTAAGCCAGGTTTTGCTGCTAAGTCCGGGAAGGCTTTGATGGGCTGCGTGGTGGAAGCTCAGGTGTCTCATCCGACCAAGGGCCAGATGGAGATCCCCGGTGCTTCCAGGTCCCCTTTGGTCTACATAGAGGAGGAAGAAATGGGCAGGCCTGGCCATGCATCCTTCAGGAAATCTAGGAAGTGGGTTAAATTCTGGCCAGGCCCCTTTCCTCACACCTGGAGGCCCTTCTGAATACTGCCTCAACAGGCGCGATGGTCCTTAAGCTGGCTCCTTGTCTTTTGTAAACCCATTTGCAGGAAAACTGCCTTAAACTCGTTCCCTTAGATGGAAACAACCTCAGGGAAGGTGTCAGAAGTGAGAGCACCAACTTTGAGCTGCACAACAGGGCAAGCCTCTTGCTCCTGTTCTCCATGGTCCTAGTATTTCTTTCTCAAGGTTCCTTGCTGGTTGGTGGGAAAATGCCCTGGGTTCCCACAGCGCAGTTGAGGAGGTTTCCCTGTACCCTGTGGTCAGAGAAGGAAGGGGGAATGAAGGTGGAAGTCAAGATGATTAAGTTCAGGGAGGGCCTGAATGCCCTTTCCCAAAGAGTTGATAAATTCATCAAAGTTCACCTAGGGAAAGAGTCTCTATCCCTTTTCATTTTATTTGGATAAAGAATGTAATCAAACTTGGGAAAAAAATCACCTAGTTCTATTATACAGAGACCACTATTCATAACTCTGTCATAATCTCCTTCCTGTTCTCTATGCCTTTTAGAATGTAATGGTACCCTGCTTTAGTCACCTAACATGCTGGCAAAAGCATGTTCCATGTCATTATGCCCTATGGACCTCATGGGGTAGAAGGGTGGACTTGTGTATTCCACAGAGCAGGTGAGCCAGTCTGGCCTGTGGAGAGCCTCAGGGCCTTTCTGCAGGAAGCTAGAATGTGGAAGGAGTGCACTGGGAAGACAACCAGGATCCAGAATGATCCTGGCTGCTAAGAACTGTGGGCTGAATGCAACAAGGGGAAATGTCTAAGGCAAGGACTCCTGCCCTTAGATTTGTAAATGGCAGGACAGAGTATGAGTCAGGGCAAGGGTGGGGCTCAGTACGGCCTGTGCGTCAATTAGTGGTGTATTAGTTAACACAACCTTAAATGGGAACCTGTAGGTGAGAAACAGAAAAATCATAGTGATCTTAGGATGCGTTGATGGTGCAATAGCACTTAAGATGAAGGAAAGGACACACTTGCTCTAATGATTGTGCCACCAGCACATCATATAGTGTTAGATAACACTTTGAGGAGACCAGAGGGAGAACATACAGGGTAGTGGAACCAGGAGAGGAAGAGGGAGAACTCTGGGAAGCCAACAGTGGAAGTCAAACTAGGGATAAGGGCACAGGAACTATCCTCTATTATGCAAAGAGCTGTGCTGTGGCAGAGGATCTGGATGTGTGTGACCACGGGCAGTAGTGGGACACAAGCTAGGAAGCTGCAGTAAGACAGATGCACCCATTTGATGTTATGAAAATCCTTCTGTCGTGGAGTACGTCAGATGAGGAGTGCTCTGTCACTAGGTTCAGTAGACCCTTCTTGGGAGGCTGAGAGGCGAGAAGACTAGGTGACTTCTTTGCCCTTGAGACTCGTGGAGTCCTGTGAGTGGGTAAAGGAGGGATTTCAGGTCTTGCTGGGCAGCTAGAGGAAGGTGTTGTTAGGCTAGAAGGTCTTCTTACCTATGAAATCATGTCCTTAAAGCTCACCCTACCCCTATGTTCTTTCCTACACACAGAGCTAAGCTAAAATAGAGGACTAGGAATCAGAGAACCCAGCTCCAGTCCCAGTTTGGCAACTATTTTGCTGTGTGACCTTCAGATAATCACATTTCTTCTTTGGGATTCCATTCTCCTCTCATTAAAACAATGAGGCTGAACCAGGGGTTTGCAAACTCTGCTCTGTGGAACCTCAGCGGTCACCTAGGTTCTGTGTTCTAAAAAACAAGAGTTGGAAATGTCTGCCCAAAGTGATCTCTAAGGTTGTGTGCAGTTTAGCACCTTACAAATGGATATCCTTTTCTGCAGGCCATCTTGGCTCTGAAGCATCCCTGCAAATGTAGTTTCCAAGCTGTGGGCCACTCTGATCTCAGGATGACTCTACTCCCACCCAAGCCGTGAAGAAGCCACTTATACAACTTCCTGATGATCAAGGTCCCTCCTCGTTGACCTTTAATCCCTTTGTCCTTGACCCTCCACTGTATTGATCCCACCATTGCTTTCCTCTCTCAATCCAGTGTCCAGCTCCTCTTGCATCCGGGAAATTCTGAGCCTTTCCTCTATCTTCTCATTCATGTCACTGGTGGAAATATGGCTCATGCCCCAGCCCCTCCCCACCACATGCCTGCGCTAGAGAGTTTACAAAATGTTTTCTATCCATTGTTTTATTGATCCCCTTCAAGTTCAGGGAGAAAGACAGGACAGGGATTGCTTTACTCACTGAAAGGAATCCAAGATGTTAAGACATGTGGCCAAAGTCTCAGGGCCTGTTATAGGATCTGTGTCTTCTGGTCTCTCTCCCAGGCCTTTCCCCGGTATTCTGACCAGTTTCTCCATAGTCCTGAGTATCTCTTGATCACCTTGTTTGTAGGATCGCTCCTCCTGCCCATACCAGGATTACACAGACCTGTATCCCCTTGGATAATTTGTGCTCCATATGACCAAGCTCCTCTTACCTTCGCTTGCAGATGGAATCAGAAGCCTGTCTAGCAGGTGGCATGAGGACATCCATGTCCATACTACCTGCGACCTGCATAGTCACAGAGCAATGATGCCACCTGCAGCACCAAGGCTTGTGGAGTACTTTCCATATGTTAGCTCCTGTTACCATAGACAGACATCAGAATGGTCTGCAGTGATGTACTTTTCTCAGGGTCTTTTGCTTTTCTGGCCTTTGTCTTTCCTTCAGCATGTCTTTAAGATGCACTGAACTTCAGCTTGTTCCTCAACCTGTTTATAATTCCTATCAAGTAGATGTGCTGATAATAAAAATGTGCCCTCCCACTCAATGAATTTATTGAACCTGACTCTGTGCCAGACTCTGTCTTAAGTTAATGCTTTATCTATGGTATCTCCTTGGACCTGGCCACAACCTTGCAGGTGGGGTTGGTTATTTCCATTTTCAGATGAGGAAACTGAAGCTTAGAGAAGTTAAGTGGCTGGCCCAGGCTCAAGTCCTCATCTGCATCACCCCATATCCCTCCCTGCTGGGCCTTCTGGGAGAGCCTCTTCCTCAGGTGGGTATGATGCTGCTCATCCATCAGGTTCATGTCTAATTGTCTCATCATCGCAGAAGACACTATATTTGGTTTAAAGGACAAATTGATGGCTTGTCTTGTCAGTGTCTTTAGTTAAGGCCACCCCTTTGATAAAGAACAAATCAGGGACTGTTTTGTTGCCCTGTGGTCTTCTGCAAGCCTTCACTTTCCAAAGTGTGTTCCTACAAGCTTGGAGTAGATCCCTGTACTCTGGGGAGGGGCTGGGGGTCTGAGGGTTCCTTGAATTGACGGCATTTCTTACCTCAGTTTGGTCAGTGAGGTCTCTCCCTGACTCCCCTCTGTCCTGGGATGGTGGGTTTCATGTCTAAAAACAAGTGGTCCAATGTCCTATTTTTTTTTTGAGAATTCTCTCTCATTGGATCCTGTTTGCTGTTTCCTTCTTTCCTTTTTTTGTAAACAAAAGGCAGCATAGCATGATGTTTAGGATCTCTGGGTCTGCAGTTTCTGGGTTTGGGTGTCAGCTCTGTCACCTACCAACTGTGTGAACTCAAGCAACTTACCTTACCTCTTTTTACCTCAATTACCCCATCTGTTAAATGGATATGATAATAGCCAAACCCACTTCATAAGGTTGACAGATTAAATGAGTATATAAGTACTGTGGTACATATATCAGGGTTTCTATTATTAGGCAAACACAAACAACCCAAAAAAAGCAAGCACCTGCCTCTTCCCCCTCTGGTCCCAAACAGATGCCCTCCACATTGTGTTCCTACAAGCTTGGAGTTGGGAACGAGAGGCCACACGTAACTTTTCAGGCCAGTCCAGACCTTGTCCTGGACCCACCTGGTGAGCTTCACCAAGAACAAGCCTCTTGACTGGTTATGGGGCCCCAACCACCATCACACAAATCAGCCTCCTACACTCAGTGCATCCTGCATTTCTTCATGAGTAACTGGCAAATGTACTGAATCCAGAATTGTAGGATCTCAGCTAGTTACCAGCTGTGTGACTTTGGGAACATGTCTACACCATTCAGAGACTTAGTTTTCTCCTCTAAAATGTGGATAATAGTAATTCCATGGTTATCATGTGGCTTAAATAAAAGT